GCGTTGCCGTTCGTCCCGGCCACCGTATCTAAGTTGCTTTCCAATGCTTTCCTTGGCTCCTTAGACTTAGTATTATTTGCCCCCACGGGTCGATTTGTTTTCGTCTTCTTAGGCGGTGTCTTCCTACTTTTTTCGATTTCTTCTCTTAACCGTTTGGATATAACTGGTGTTTGCTGCGGCTGAATTGTTTGGGTACCTCTATCGTTGGTTTTAGCAGTGATAGTTTTATTTGGTGTCTCTTCGGCAGTTCTTTTATAGAGCGATGATATCAATGCAACAAGATCACGCATTGCTTGGTGGATGGACCTTCTTCCTCCACCCATCATCTCATTTAGCTCGGATATTTTGTCCCCGAGTTTAATGAACGCTTCCTTTTCACTTTTGGAACACTGTTCCCATTAAGCTCCGGAGGGGATGAGCGAGCTCTCTCGTTATTTTGCCTCTCTTGTGATAGCACAGGTGAGTGTGTTAGTCTCGGCGCCCTCATGAAGGGGTTTTGGCTGGGACTGACTATCCGTGACTCCTTTGCACTTTCGGTGCCGGCTGGAGTATTAACGCCAGAGTGTATTGGTGTTTTTGTGTTTGTGAACATTTTTCTTTGCAATTGGGTCCCAACTTAAAGCCGTTATCTTGGTTTCGTTGTGTAGTTACCCTTATTGTGGTTCCATGATTATCTTTGCAATGCAGGGAGGTCATGCGAGGGTTGACACATAGCCTTATGAGCGCATGTGTTCAGAGCCAAACCAGGAGCTAAGCAGAAAATATTCTTAACTGCCCCTACACCCCAACTTAACAGGACGAATCCAAGATCGTTCTTTAAGGCTTGCCAGGTTTTAACGGGACGGAGACAGATGAAGCATTAGCCTGAAAGCCGTCTGGACCAGATTTCACTCTAGCCCATATTGGTAACAGAATACATCATCCACCAGCCCAAGTCATCATATCCCATCGTTTGCTCCAGTATACCATAATCAGAATCTTACTGGTATCGATCCTGATGCCTTTTCTTATAGGCTTTCTCCATTATCATCTCATCATGTCCAATCGTTTGCTGTTGTCCAGTATGCCGTAATCAGAATCTTACTGGTATCGATCCTGATGCCTTTTCTTATAAGCTTCCTCCATTATCATCTCTCGTATGTGAATTGTGATGCGACAGTCGTCCCTAACATGATATACAGACGCTGCGCATTTCCGACTCCCTCGTTGGCGCATCAATTGCTCTCACATTGGAAGCAGACATTGTGCGCTTACACGTCCCTCGATGCCATCCCGGGATGGTGGACGCTTAGTTAGAGCCGGCGTCTACTCGGCTCAGCTTAGGGGCTTCTCAGGGTTTCTGTGACCTTTTAAGCCACACCCTCCGACGCCTAGCTGGATTTTAGTCGCCTCTTACGACAGGCATGCCTTACCGCGGGAATATTCTAACCCCTATCCCGCAGGGATATATAGCACAAATGTGTGTGCACGAATCTGTGTGCACAATCATCGCTTTGTGCGTTTTGAAATTTAAAACCGCACAACAAATTTGAGTGCGTGCATTTATTTCTTAACACCACAAATGTGCGTGTGCATATTTTAAAAATAATTTCCACACGCACAGTGCAGTGTGCGATTTGGTGCACCACATTCCGAACTCTGTTCAGAACTCTACTACATACGGTTAGATATATGCTGCGATTTGTAAATTTGGCAAGGCGCATCAGTTTAAGCAATAACACTACGGCCCTGAGCCCTAAAGAATTGGAGCTGTCACTTAGGCACATAGTGAAGTACATACAACAGTCAGAGCTAAGAAAAGAACTAAATTAATAAGAACGCAACCAAATAATAAATCCTGCAAGTGCACTCGCTGGGTTGATGCCATTTCTAGATGAACATAAAATAATTCGCGTGGGGAAAGGTTTGAAGCATCGTTACTGACATATGATGAAAAAGACCAGATAGTCCTTCCATACAATAACCCTATTGTAAAACTGATAATGAAAGACATTCACGAATGCAAAATGCATTGCGGCGGTCAAACACTGCTGGCGGCAGCATGACAAAAATTTTAGCCGATCAAGGGTAAAATTATGGCAAAACCAAAAATTCACTTATTTCCTGAAAGCAAATCTATTAAAACACAGAAAGGAAACCACAACAAAGAAAAACGAATGGATAATGAGATAGTCTCACGAAAACAATGGCGTATTTCCTCTAATATAAAATTAACTACATTATTGATATCTCTGCTTTTACTTCCAATCATTCTATGTTCACCAGTAAACGTAACCGAACTTCGCTCCGCTCCTGGTATACACTTTGAACAAGTAGAAACGAAAACAACGATATTAACAACATCCCACTTGAAAATTATAATTTATTACGATTTAGCTCCCTTTAATACAGAGCTGGACGTACTAAAAGATTCAACGTTAAATCTTTTGAAGCAATGTGATCAAAGCAACTTAAACTCAACATGCAAGTTTGTGGTTCATCATTACACAAAAGAAAAGAAAAGGAATTAAGAACAGCATTTGAATTTATGTCAAGAACCCGAAAGAAGAGAGGGGCAATCGAAGTAGTTGGGAATATAGCAAGCTCCCTGTTTGGAGTACTAGACTCCAATTATGCAAGTGACATGTCAAAAACGATCAAAATTTAGAAAATAGTTAAACTAAAAGAAACTACCATTTGGACTCAGCTGAAACACAAAAATCACTAGATTTACGCTACCAAATATCCTATTCAACTCAATGCAGTATGCGGTTCAAATGCATTTCCAGTGATACTAAATAGTACCGGCATGGTAAAAATTGCATCAGATTGTGTCATCAGAGACAACACGATTTTTATTCAAGGACACCAATTCACAACAAGTCTGCTAAAATCAGCGTATACGAGCATAGGAATTTCAACTCCTGAAATTAAGACATCTACGCGGATAAAAAATTCCGAAATTGAATATCTTCCACAATTAGAAGAACAATCCTGCAAAAACAACTAACAAAGGATACATTACCTGAACTATCATCAAAAGTACAGCAAACTGAAAAACATGGCTTATCAGTGGGGTACGCAGCCTTGTTTTTGATTATTGGAATCATCATCTTAAAATTAACTAAATTCACACGGAACAATCAGACGCAAGGTCAATCGAACGTTTAGACACCTCAGCCGCTTCCAAGATCAAGGTCGACATTTGTTATCACAACAACATAAAGACAGCATCACACAAACTTGAATTAAAAATTCAACGCGGGCGAGGATATGTTAAGTATTACGCATAAACATAAGTAATTTCTTTTTTGTCTTTAGCTGACCAATGCTAATATACATGTAACGTATACTACTTTTGCTGATTATTGTTTTGTTAAAAGTACATGTAATATAAATATAAGTTATATTTCTGCTGATTACTGTTTGTTTTGATAAATAGGTCTAGAATACATTTTAAGTAATTCGTTTTAAGTTGTATTCTGCTGAATATATTATGTGTCATTATAAGTTCCATTTTGCTTATTATTTTATGTGTCATTATAAGTTGTATTTTGCTTATTATTTTATGTGTCATTATAAGTTGTATTTTGCTTACTGATAATTATTGTTTTAATTCAGGGCATACGGGCACTATGATGTAGGTCAGTAAATTATTGCATGTTTGCTTATTCTTTTTAGGTGACAATTTTAGTAAGTAATCATAAGCAATTATTATAAGAAAAAACATTAAAATAAATATTAAAATAAATAAAATTATTATCAAAAAAGAGTGAGAATTTAAAAAAAAACGCAAAATTTTAATTTTTAATAATTTTCTTTATTATCGCCTTCAAAGTACTCTCCTCCTGCGGCAACGCTTGATCCAATTTTCCATACAAATTTTATAGGCCGTCGAAGGTATGGCTTTTAGTTCACGCGGCGAATTCTCTTTTATGGCCTCTATGGTCTCAAAACGGGTTCCTCGCAATGGCAATTTGAGTCGGGGGAAGAGGAAAAATTCACACGGGGCCATATCTGAAGAGTACGGAGCTTGGTTGATGATATTGGTAAATTTTTTGACCAAAAACTGCGACACAACCAACGCTGTGTGAGTCGGTGCGTTATCGTGGTGTAAAATCCATGAGTTTTCCTTCCATAAATCTGGCCTCTTTTTGCGAATGGTCTCACGCAAGCGACGCATAACTGCCAAATAATACTCTTTATAAACCGTTTGACCGTCCGTAAGGAATTCATAGTGCACCACATCATGAATATTGAAGAAAACAGTCAGCATAACCTTGATTTTGGACCGACTTAGGCGTTCTGTTTTCGGTTTCGGCTCACCTTCGAAGTACCATTCGGTCGATTGTTGTTTGGTGGGCATGTCAAATTCATAGGCCAATGTCTCACCATCAGTTATGATGCGTTCGATGAATGTGGGGTCACTATCTGCGTTGGAAATCATCTCTTTGACCACATCACAACGACGCTTTTTTTGATTGAATTTCCGCTTTTTTGCCACCAGCCGAGAAGCGACGCGTTTCAAACCCAAAACATTAGTTAAAATGTGTTCGGCTGATCCATATGAGATTTCCAACAACACTGCAATCTCACTAATCGGTTCACAACGATTTTCCAACACGATCTGCTTTGTCGATTCAATGTTTTCTTCAGTAATAAAAGTTGTTGGGCGGCCAGGGATCTCATCATGGTCTAAGCGTGTACTACCGTCTTTGAACCTTATAAACCATTCGTATACTCGTAGGTGCG